GGGATTGGAGTGGCAATTAGGGAGGGCATGGGACTTATTTTGTGGTACATATTCCAAAAACGGTTGAATCCCACTAGCATAGCCAATTTTTCCCACACTATAACTTACTGCAACTTCTGGCATGTGCATTTGCATTTCTTCCCTGTAGTGTAGCACCTTACACTTGCCTTTATTGAATTTCCTTTTTCTTTCTTTCTATATTTTTTATTTGTAGCCTTATTCTCCAATGAATCCAGTTCCTTTTGAATTCCTTGCAGTACCTCTAGAAATTATAAGCATTATTACTTCATTGGGAATCTTGATCTCATAGGACTTTCAGCTAATTTTGCATTCAGCATGGATTGATAATATATCCATGGAACTAATTCATTTTCACCCCACTTCTTAAGAAACATAAAAACAAAATTAAATTAAGAATGTACCCTAAAAACAAACTGAATGAATGCTTAGCTAAGTTTGTGGGACCTCCCCCTCCCCCCCCCCAGCCCATCAAAATAATATCTAAAATTTTCCAAAGGATTTCTTTAAGTTTATATTGATACTGGAATTTGTACCATAAGTGACATAAGCATACACAAAAATAAGGATACACCTAAATTGATAGCAATAGTTAGTGCAACAGGTTATTCTTAAACAAGTAAAAATAATTATTCGCTCTTCACCATTGACTATGATATAGAACATAACGATATGTTCCTTTTTCTCTTTAAAAATTCTTATGTTTTCTTTTATTATTTTGCAATAGGCATCCAGCAGTTTGCATAGCATAGTTCACTAAGATTACTCCAGAGTATGCTGTCATGAGATTTCATAATCTAATTAGGTCCCATATTTGAATGGGAGCTCATCAGGGGACATACTACAGGAAGCAGCTTGCTGGTTTAGTGGGTTAATTTTTCCTTCTGAGTCAATAGTGACTCGCTAATGAATTAAGGTTTAGGTATGGTGTTAAGAAACACTGAGCTACTGGTAGTACCATTCTTTTAAAGGAAATGCAAAATCAAATCCCTGATTGTTTGTGTTCATTAAAGAGTCATTGTTACTGTTCACAATAATAGTTTCCTTTCCTGTCCAGTTTTGGTAATTACATCCTGTAAGTCTAAAGTTGTCTAGTTGTTCCAAATGGAGAAGTTCAGGAAGTTCAGCACTACTGCCTGCCTTATAGTCTGCTGTGTTGCAGCTAAGATGTGAGCTACATTTCAGTGGTGAATCTTTATATATAATCTACAAATCATTTTATGACTCTTCTGGATAGAAAGAATGCAAGTGAAAATATGCACTAACATGTTATAATGGCACAGGTAGCAACTCGAGAGGTTGAATTTTCAAATGAGCTTAAAGTGAAGCATAGATTTCTATTTTTCTCTGAAAGTTGGTAGTCAGTATGAGATTTCATATATGGTTATTTTTTGTGCCCTGTGAATATTACCTATAGTGTTGTCAGATTTCACCTCATGCATCTCCAATAGGAAGTTTTATAAATGGATTTTGAATTAAGTGTTTTTTTGGCAAGCCTATTGTGTTTGTTACCAATATCTTTTAAAATGCTCTCTGAGAAGGAGAGAAGGATCCCGAGTAGCTCTTAAGCAATTAATAGTATTTTAAAAACTGGAATAAGTAATTATTAGTCATTATTTGTCTTGCTATAAAGGCACTTTGCACACAGTTCAGACTGATAGGGAAGTGACACGTGAACAGTAGGGGTGTGTGAAATGGGACATATTCAATTCAGATTCGGCTCAAATTGGGGGACAGTAATTCGATTAATTGATTCAGATCACTGTCCCAATTCGATTCTGGGGAATCCGAATCTAAAGATCCGATGCTGATCCAGAGAATCACCAATTCAGCCATAGACACAGCTTTAAATGTTTTTTCTACATACAGTACAGTCGCGTCGTAAGTGCATTTAACTTGCGTGAATTCAACTTTATGCAGGGTGGGAGGGGGGGCGAGGCTGCAGTTTGCAGCGGCGGCAGGAGGTTTTGGCAGCGTGGTGGTGGCCCAGCAGCAAGCAGCTATCCCCCTCCACCCCCCCGTGCTGCGCCTCTGCCGCTGGCCGCACAGCTCAAAGCACGGCTCCATGGCGGCGGCGGAAGGTTTTGGAGGCAGGGGCAGTCGCCGCTAGTCAAATCGTTGGCGATTTGACTATGCGCGATTTTCGGGCGGCGGCGGGAGGTTGTGGAGGCAGAGGTTGTCGCCGCCGATTTACTATGCACGATTTTCACCTTACACGATGACCTTGGAACCTAACCCCTGCATAAGTTGCAACATGCCTGTACCTTGAGGTACCAGGCACAGCTCATGAACACGGAGATGGTAGGGCAGATGGAGCCTCCCACAAGAGCACAGGGGGGGTCCCCCCATGCACTCAGTAGCAGACCTGAAGTGGACTGGAAGTAATTCCGGGCCATTTCTGGGTCGACCACCAAGCGCATGGGGGACCCCATGCCCCCCTGGCTTGGTGATCTGCCACGGGCATTGAATAGAGCAATATTTTTGGCCAGGGTGCTGAAAAAAACATGTCTACCTTTTAAGGTGCCAGTGTGCATGCCAGAAAAACAAAACCGGAGTGGGGGGGTACATGGCAGGACACACTACATATATTAATATAGTTAATAATAATAAATGTTGCCTTTTTCAGTAAATACCAGGTTTTCTAAAAATTCTAAACCTGGTGACAATAATTAAAATTTCACATACTACCTTTGTATGCCTTCTAACTGTAACATTTCCTGAAGTTCACGTAAACCAAAGGCAGGGCAAACCATGTAAAGAGGCAAACAGAAAGCAGAAAATCAGAAATAATTGAATTATTGAAATATTTCCAAGAAGGCAAACGGAGAGCAGAAAAACAAACAAAACGGTGTGCATTATGAAACGTTTAAATGTAGGAATGCAGAGTAGAGAGATTAAAATAAATTGAATAATGAACTGTTTTAAGCAAGTTGAAAAAGGAATAATATGACCTGGTTTGGAAGAGGAGAAACTAAGTCTGAATTGATTTAAAAGAGCAAAGTAAACTGAATAATATGCAACGTTAGCTCTCAGTTTGCAAAGTACAGCACCAGCACCAACAGACTACTGCCTGTTGGTGCTGGTGCTGGTGCTGTGCTTTGCAAACTGAGAGTTTATCTGCTGCCCAGAGCTATGGTCAGCAGAACGCAGACAATGTTTCTGCCTCCCTGCCTGTGCTCCCTTCACCCCACCTTCGGTACCTGCTATTATGCTGGGAGCTGTGGTTGCTTCAGAGAAGCAACTTGAAAAAAAACATTTTTTTTAACATTTTCCTCGACACACCTCCTGGCATGCTGAGGAAAATGTCTCCACATGTCACTAACTGGCATATGTGCTGGGGGTTTCCTATCCTTGGAATAGAGCAAGCAGATGGTGACTCGTGGCTGCCAAGTTGACGGTCACTTGTCCCTCAGACAGCAGGCATGGAGTCCAGTGTTAACCTTCACACAGCAGCTAGTGAGGCAGTAGCTTTTGGCTGAAGAGCCACTGAGCTGGCTGGGGCTGAGCAAGCTGCTGCATACAGCCTGTAATAGCATGATGAATTTTGTAATGTGGAAGCAACACTATTATTTACAGAAACTTATATAAAGACTATATGCATTAAAGAAGTAAATCTTACGACTGCCCTTGCCACAGTCTGTGGCCTAGCCTTGTTGCTGTCCTACCACACCAGGAGGTTCCTGCTGCCAGCCTTTACCCAGCTCTCAACTGGCTTCTGGGATGCCACACTTCCTGGATGCTCTGTTTCCAGGAAGTTTTATTCTGGAGTCGTGCAGCCGGCCACGAGTAGGAAAATCTTTTCTCCCCCTACATTTTGTTTTCCAAAAACAGGATATGTGTTGTATGTGGTAGGGAGAGCGTGGTATGCAGGAAAATACAGTGACCAAGGTGTAACCAATTGGTTGAAAAATTTCCTTCAACCAGATGAAAGATTAAAAAAAATACAAAAGCTACATTTGTATCCTTTACCTAAATTATTTTAATAAAAAATTAAGCAGTCCAAGGAAATGTTGATTTAAGTTCAATTTAATTCATATAGAATTGATTTAATAAATATAAAGCATCTGTCCAGGTCCTCTTTTTAATGCTTAAAGAAAGCCATATGCTTCTAATGCACCTAAATTGAGTGATAGAAATGAACGTTATTATTTAATAACATGTTTATTTTGTATTTTATGTAGCAGTACTAATTTTTTTTTCTGGATTTGATGGTTCAGTTCTTTTTGTGGACATTTATGCTTATAAATCCTTTCAGTACTTGGCTAAGATGGATCTCCACTAAACCTCTTTCGTTCTCTGAATGACCAGCAGTAAGAAAATGAGTTTTTTACCTTGTTTCTTGGGTAAAGTGGCCAGGCAGATGTGTGACACAAGGAATCATGGATTACTATAAAGTTAATAAAGTTTATGAGTGTGAGCATCTTCTAAAGGAAAGAAATTGTGTCATTATTTTTATTTCTGACTGCAGGGAAAACTTGAAAGGAAAAAGATTTTCTGTTTTGAATTGGGGTGAATGTGTGTGGATGTATGTGATTTGGCACATCAAATCAGCAGATACAGTGCAGAGTTTTGCTGCAAAGAGAATGGGAGTAACATCTGTGACTGTTAGTGGGCAAAGTGCATGTAATGTCACATATTTAAAAATAAAAGGCCATTTTGTAGGGTTATATATACACTAAGAGATTATCGTATTTCACAATAAGTGCTTAATTGCATGATCTGACCATTTCATAAATAGAAGCTAACCTGGGACCTTTTAGCCTTCAGTGAGAGAGAAGTAAATTACAGGCTTTCCACTTATTGCATAAAAAGTATGGGCATAGCAGATACCACAGAGTAGAGGACCCATATTAAATCCCAGCTCCTTTTTACCATATGTTAAATTGTTCTATATGTCCATATCCTTATTTACTTAATTTTATTGGTGGAAGAGAGAATTTGTGTTAATACAGAAATAAATAAATAACTTGTTGTTTTGACTTTTTAAGTTGCCAAATGGTGTCACCTATCACACTGGAACATACCAAGACAGATTAGGAAAGCTGCAAGAACATCTTCGTCAACTGTCAATACTCTTCAGAAAATTAAGATTAGTCTATGACAAATGCAATGAAAACTGTGCAGGGCTTGATCCTGTCCCCATAGAGGTAAGCATTTGCTTTTATTTAAAATTGTTGTGTCTGACTGATATTTATTTTACCATGTGTCACTTTGTTATACTGTTTCAGTAAAAAAAAAAAAAAAAAAAAGCTGCTTATTTTAAATGAATCATAAAATTGGAAAATTAGAGCTGGAAGGTGTGCGGGCCGGCTCCCGATCCCATCCTCGCCATGTGCGAGCCGGGCCCGTCTTTGCGCACGCGGACTGTGGCCAGCAGCCCGGGCACGCGGGGTCAGAGGAGACTGCGGGGCGGTAAGGTACGCGCGAGCTAGAATCAGTTACGGAGGCGTAATGGTTGATTGAAAAGATTATTTACTTACACCCAAGGTGGTTGCGGTGTAGGCTGGACAGCTTTCCAGGCGCAGCTCCGCTTGAATCCTCGTTGGAGGACTCTGACAAACTCGGTTCTTTGACCCCGGAGTGGTTTAGGCTCCGCGGGTTCGGCAATTCTTTCCTCACGGAGTGGCTGAATCTCCGTGGGTTCTGTTTGGTTCCCAGGTCCCTCGGAGCTGTTAAGACTCCGTGGGTTTGAAAATTGGGTATACAGGATAGGGATACGTCTAGGATTGCGCTCAGTGACAAGGAGAGGCTAGAAGCTAAACGGACCTCCGTTGCCTGCTTAAGAAAGGTGCGTTGGGTCCGCAAGGGTCCACATCGCTTGGAGATCTTCACACAGCGCGAAGTCGGTGTGCATAATTTAGGATCAGCCAATAACATGGCACGAATCTAAATACAAACGGTGGGAACTCCTTTGCACCGTGCATCACTATGATGCAAAAGAAATGCACCATGCAAAGAAGGCTACAAATGGCGGGAAATACTCTTTTGCACGCGGGTTCTCCTATTGCAGCAGAAAACTGTACCATGCAAAAAAGCTGCAATTTGGCGGGAACATAATTTAGCGGTGCCGAAGCACACAAAAACAAAAAACCACAACTTTGGGTTGTGACAGAAGGGACCTCAGGAGGTCATCTAATCCAGTAGTTCTCAACTTATTTTTGTACCAGGACCCATTTGTAAACATTGATGGCCAGTTCCAACCCAGTGCCCCTCACTCCCAGTCCCCCCAGTGTGTGTGCGGGGAGAGGCGGCGAGGAAGTGTAGGGCATGGGGGGGCACCAAGCAGGCTGGAACTCTGCCAGCCTACAAGGGAGAAGCCACAGTTTCCCATGGTTTTTCTCCCTTAAAGGCGACTCCACTTTTAATATTTGTTAACAACCCTTTTATATATTCTTGCAACCCGCTTTTGGGTCATGACCCATGGGTTGAGAAATTTTGATCTAGCCCCTGCTCAAAACGGGGCCATCCTCAACTATATCATCCCAGCCTCGGCTTTGTCTAGCCAGGTCTTAAAAACCTCTGAGGATGGAGAGTCATAAACCTCTCTGAATAGCTTGTTCCAGTTCTTTACTGCCCTCCTGGTGAGAATTTTTCCTAATATCTGACCTAAACTTCCCTTGCTGCAACTTGAGACTATTGCTCTTTGTTTCCTATATTTTTTTCCCCAAACTGCTAAAACATGACCTCCTGGATACCTTTCCATACCTCCATTATGCATTGTGCTACCTTTCCATTTCCTTGAATGTCCCTTGTCTTGTGTATTATGAAACAGGGTGAAGAGATGTCTAATCCACATTGTCTGGAGCTTTCGGTATTTTGTTATCCCCCTTCCATATTCCTTCAGAGCCTCTTTATTTGTTCTGAAGTGAAAATGCACTAGTACAGAAAGGAAAAATGTGCTAGAAGAACACAGTTTGAAATGGTGCAAGATGAGCTAAACATAATAGAATTATGCTGCTGAGCTGGGTGCACTTGTGATATAAAGCAGTTATTCTTGCATTCAAAAGGAGAAGCTGTCGAGTCATACATAGTCTCCTTTCCTGTTCCTAGATTTCTTTATTCCTTCAACACAGCTATCATCTTTAAAGATTTTCTTCTTATTTATTGCTGTACTCTTTTCTTTGATATAAGTTTATTGACCTAAATATTTTAATATAAATCTGTTTTCAGTGTAAGTATATTAATAATTTAGTCAGCATCGTTTTACAGTTCAACTCCTTGTCAGGAAATGAAGTAACTATGACATGCATCTTATTGCAAATTTAAGTTGATTAGACTCCCTGAATTTTGAGTGCTTTACTTATTCAACTTTAATGTTCTTAGTATTAGTAAATTTTATCAAATACTATGTTTATTAAAAGAGGGGAGAGAGGAAAAAAAGAAGCGAGAGAAAAATTTACTTTCTAAGAAGTTAAATCAAAGGCTGTGAAACAGTGGAAGCCAGTTTTTTTAGTACATTTGCCACAAGGTAAGCTCTGCAGCCTCCCCCAGTGCTACTCCAGTTCCTTTCCCCTGCCTGATCTGGTGTTCAGCTTTCTGCTCCCTAGTCTGTGCTCCCTGACTGATCTGTTGCTCTGCTTTCTGCCCTGTCTGCTGCTGCATTCTCAGCTCCTTCCCACGCTGGCTGCCAATACCACAGGCTAGCCTCCTGTACTATAGGCAAACATAGATTCATAGTGGTTTCAAATGTGAAGAGGGAGTTGCTGCTTGGGACTGGATCTAGACTGTCCTCAGTGGTGGCAGATGACAGAAAAGGGAGTAATGAACTCAAGTCGAAAAAAAGGAAGCTTAAGTTAGATGTTAGGAAGAATTTTCTCACTAGGAGGGTAGTAAAACACCGGAACAGGTTACCCAGAGACGTGGTTGAAGCTCCATCATTGGAGGTTTTCCAGACCTGGCTAGACAAAGCTTTGGTTGGGATGATGGTGCTGCCTTGAGCAAGGGGTTGGACCTGATGACCTCCTGAGGTCCCTTCCAACCCTAATTTTCTATGACTCTGACTGCATAGTAGTTGTTATGCTGTAGCTGTTATTGCTTTGTGAGCCTGTAGCAATGAAAGGGTAAGTAGCCTCTCCAACTGTAACCCTGCTTCATCCAGTCAAAGTTAAGGTGATTTAACTCACTTGGATTGTTACATGATCATGCTCACACAACAAATACCACCTAACAGCTGCTGTACAGTAGGGATGTAGATATAGTTTTAAAAATATCTGTTTAACCTCCTCTAATGATATCAGTTAAATGATTAACCACAGCTCGGACAGAGCTGCTGCTGGGAGCTGCTCCTGGAGCCCTTTAACTGGTGGGAGGTAGGAAGGAGGCAAGCCCAACCTGACAACACAATCCATCTGAGGCCTATGCTGGGAGCAAGGGAGCAGCTAGTTGTTTAATTGATGAATCACTAGGCTGCTAGCTGTTTTCCTCTTTGGTCAGTGGATGTCAGCTGGGGGTACATGTACCGCTAGGGGTACTTAAAAAGGTTGTAGTGTGTATGGGGGAGTTCCCGCCACTGCGCACACCCTGGCGAAGGCCCGGGAGGGCATATGTCGCCCCCCCCCCCCCCCCGATCTGTGTGCAGGGTGGAGGCAGCTCCTGCTGTCCACTGGGCTTTGTGCACCAGTGCAGGTGGCCCAGGAGCGGTGTGATGCCACATGCCTGCTGCCGCTGCACTGCGCTGCACCGGCAGGACACGTGTGGCATCGCATCGTTCCCAGAGCAGCTGCTTTAGCGTGCGAAGCCCAGTGCACGGTGGCAGCCATCTTTTGCCCTGCACACAGATCAGGAGGACACGTGCCCCCCAGGCCTCCACTGGGATGTACACAGTGGCCAGAGCTCCCCCCCTCC